AGTAACTTAATCTTCCACCTTAAGGCAGTGGAAAAAGAAGAGCAAACTAACCCCAAAGCAAGCAGATACAAGGAAAATAATAAAGATTAGACCAGAAATTAATCAAATAGAGAATGTGCCAACAATAAAATGAATGAGACCAAAAGATAATTCATTGAAAAGATAAACAAAATCGACAAACCTTTAGTTAGACTGACCAAGGAAAATGGAAGAAGACTCAAATTAGTAAAATTAGGAACAGAAGAAGGGGCATTAATACAACAGAATTTAAAAAGGTCATAAGAGAAAACCATGAACAAATATGCCAGAAGTTAGGTAAGTTAGATGAAATAAATTCCTAGAAAGGCACAAACTATTAGAATCGACTGGAGGAAATACAACATCCGAATAGATCTTTAACAAGAAGGAGATTGAAGGAGGAGGAGGGGGAGGAATAGTAGTAATAAACTAACCACAATGAAAAGCCCAGACCCGGATGGCTTCCGTAATGATGCTACCAAACATTTTTTTAAGTTTTTTTTTTTTTTTTTTTTTTGAGAGAGAGATCATGAGCATGGGGGAAGGGTAGAGGGAGAAGCAGACGCCCCACTGAGCAGGGAGCCCCATGCAGGGCTCGATCCCAGGATGCTGGGATCATGACCTGAGCTGAAGGCAGGTGCTTAAACAACTGAGCCACCCAGGCATCCCACTACCAAACATTTAAGGAGGAATTAATACCAGTCTTCATAAATGTCCAAAATATAGAAGAGGAAGAAACACTTCCCAACTAATTTTATGGGGCCAGTATTATCCCAATACCAAAACCAGACAAAAATATGATAAAACAAGAAAACTATAGACCAATATCTCTCTTATGAATAAAAACACAAAAATCCTCAACAAAATACTCTCAAACTGAATCTAGCAACAAATTAAAAAGATCATATACTGTGGCCAAATGGGATTTATCCCAGGAATCCAAGGGCAAGTGAAAATCAATTAATATACCTTATCAGTCACGAATAAGGGACAGAAACCATATTATCATCTTGGTGGACACAGAAGAAGCATTTGACAAAATTAAACATTCCTTCATGATAAAAACACTCAAAAAAGTAGGAATGGTGAACTTCCTGAAAATCAGAAGCCTAAAAATCAAGAGCCTTTTTTTCCCCCTAAAACCAGAAACTGAGGCAAGAATATCCACTTTCACCCCTTTATTCAACATTGTAGGCAAGAAAAGAACATAAAAGACCTTCACACTAGAAGAATAAAACCTGTGTTTACAGATGACATTATAGAAAATCCTAAGGAATCCACTAAAAGGCTATTCAAACAAATGAACGAGTTCAGCACAGTTGCAGGATGTAACTGCATTTGACGTGATCTTGTAAATAGGAAATCCCAAGGAATCCACTAAAAAGCTATTCAAACAAATGAACAAGTTCAGCACAGTTGCAGGAGGCAACTGAGGCCATTTGTATGACCAACATACAAATTCTGTACACCTGCACTGAAAAATCTGAAAATGAATTTTAAAAAACAATCCATTTACATTACAATAAACACTTAGGAATAAATTTAGCATTAAAGAAGTATAAACCTGATACTCTGAAAACTACAAAATGTTGAGGGAATTGAGAGACCTAAAATAAAAAGATCCCATGTTTATGGGTTGAAAGACATAATATTATTAAGATGGCAATACTCCCCAAACATCCACAGATTCAACACAACCTCTCTCAAAATTCTAGCTTATTTCTTTGTAGAAATCGACAAAGTGATCCTAAAATTCATAGGGAGGTCAAGGAACCTTAGAATAGCTATATAACAATTTTGAAAAGGAAGAATTAAGTTTGGTAAGACTCAGCACTTGCCAATTTTAAAATAAACTACAAAGCTACAGTAATCAAAGTGTGGCACTGGAATAAAGATGGACATATAAATAATAGGATGGAACTGTGAGTGTCCAGAAATAAACCCTCACAGTCCATTTACAGTCAATTGATCTTTCAACGAAGGTGCCAATGAGGAAGGAATAGTCTTTTTAATTCATGGTACTGGGACAACTAGATAGTCAATTTCATATGGACTTGTATGCAATTGGACCATACCTCACATCATATACAGAATTAATTCAAAATGGATCAAAGATGAAAAGTAAGAGCTAAAACTATAACTTTCTTAGAGGAAGATGGGTAAATCTTTGTGACCTTGGTTTTGGCAATGGTTTCTTAAATATGATATCAAAAGCACAAGCAGCTGAAGAAAAAACAAATAAATTAGGATTTCTGGGAGGATGGAGTGGTGAAAATGTTTTAAAATTCAATGTGGTGATAGTTGCATAACTCTGAATATACTAGAAACCATTGATTTTTATGCTTCAGATGGGTGAATTTCATGATATGTAAATTATATTTTATATAAGAAAGAAAATCAAAAGAGGCAAAAAAAAAACTTAGACCCTTCACTAAAGAAGATATTAAAATGTCTAATAAGCCATGGAAAGATACTAAATATCATTATTACTCAGGAAAATGCAAGTTAAAACCATAATGAGACACCACTACACACTGAACAGAACAACTAAAATTATAATGACTGAGAGTACCAAATGCTTACCTTATAGAAATTCCCACTGACGTCATATCCCAGCCACTGATCTAGAGTACCTGCCCCATAGGGACACGCCAGGTATACCACTTGGCAGCTTCTGTGTCTGCTTTACAGCTGTGAATACCTGACTGCTGGATAGAGTTGGCTATTGACCTTGTGAAGTATGCAACCACATACCTACAAATAAAACGTGTTTTTTTTTTTATGAAAGTCAGGTCTTCACCTTTGGCTCTTGGTCTATTCCAAAAGTAGGAAGTAGGTTACTTGATGTTGTTTTAGGGTTTGTTTGGTTTTTTTTTTATATTTTTAGTTACTTTTTTGTTTTCCCAATAAATGAAAAATAAACCACTGTCTATGTTCCAGGCAACAACAATCCACAGTAGTTACTATTCCCATTGTATGGACAAAAATCTGCAGCTGAGAGAGACTTCATTTGCTCAAGGCAGGACACAGTGAAACCATTGTCTAATCCAGGTCTGTGAGTTACAAAGGCCAGGTCCTGTGGACTAAGAGAAGAGTACATGGGATTCTTTTTATGACACACTTGCCTTTGAGTGTCAGGATGGTTTTCTTCAGAGTCTATTAATATTTATTCCACTGTAAAGAATTTGTGTTTAATAATATATCTGTTGAGTGCTTACTGTATGTGGGTACTTTGTTTGTGGAGGTGAATATATTTATTTGGACTTTAAAAAGCTCAGAGTGTAACAGAGAAAGCAACTGTGCAAATAAACATTTTCAATACAGCAAGATAATTGCAGTGGTAGAAGTCTTTAATAAGTACAGTGGCTAACAAAAAAGGAAGTGATCAACTCTGCTGGAGTGGTTATTGAAGATGAGAAAATTGCATAGGACATACAAGGATGGGTAGGAGTTTGTCAGTTGGTCAGCTGACCTGTGGGTGTCTATTTCTGTGTCATGACTAACTGTGGAAACCATTTATGCATAAACATCAGCATTAGATTTAAGCAAATAACTACTTAAAGGTAGAAAAAATTCATTGTTAGTTGGCAGGAATGCTGTGTTCTTTACACCTTTTTAATAATTAGCTTTGTGTTAAGATATAATTAAAACCTCTTAGCAAACTACAGAAGCTGTAGAGGGGGCAATGCTTTTTACTGGCATACGTTTCGTAAAATACATTGCAAAGCAACCAGCTATTAGAGTTCTTTCATTCTGTTGCATCTGCTTTTTGGAATTTAAAGTTAAACAGACAAGATGAAACAAATTTGCAAGTTTATGAAGATTTTGCTTTGTTCTCTTTTCAAACTGTGCTGAACTTGACAAACGAATATACTCGGGATACATGCTTTTCAAGTTTTTAGGAGGAAAGCTTTAAACTACATCTGTGACTGTTTTCAGGGTCTACACTGTGTGTTAAGGTCTCAGTGGTTAGTTTCTAATGAAACTACTATCAGTTTATCAACAAATATCTTATTGGAGCTAATTATGAACACAATTATGTTATTGCTTTTATTATTATTGAGCTCCCTTATGTATTTATCACTGTAGCCTGTTTTTTTTTTTTTAAAGATTTATTTATTTGAGAGAGAGTGTGTGTGTGCATGAGTGGGGGGAGGAGCAGAGGGAGAGGGAGAGAGAAAATCTCAAGCAGATTCCCCACTGAGCATGGAACCTGACGTGGGGCTCGATCCCACAACCCCAAAATTATGACCTGAGCCAAAACCAAGAGTCCGGTCGATGCCCAACCAACCGAGCTACCCAGGTACTCCTCACTGTAGCCTGTTCTGTCTCTTATTTCATTATTCCTCTGGGGATAAATAGGGCAAATTGAGAGGGAAATGGGAATATTTCAGTATCAGGTGTTTGACTCAGCCACATTATGCCACTTTTCCTTTTGGGCTGTGTGGATCGATAATGGTACCTGCTACCTAATATACATTTTTGAAAGGTTGCATAGAAAATTCTAGAAAATGGGGAACCTGCTTAGAAATAGCAACTGGCAGCTATTACAAAGGAAAGGCTGGGATTTTTGTTTGTGTTTTGGTTTGTTCTTTTCATTTTTTATCTTAGTTATTGCAGTGGCTGATGTTTTGGTACTTCATAGGATAAGTATTATACAATGACAGCAGAGATTTCTAATACACTGCTTTTGGGAAAACGTATTTAAATATATGCAGATGTCATGTAATAGTTTTAATGGCAATAATCTATGCAAATCCATTTGATTGCAGCGTAGGATAGTCATTATCTTAGGCCACTGTATTACTATGTGAATTTAGTAATATGTTCCAGAGGAAACTGTATACTATACACAAAGAATTGTGCAAAAATAGTATATTAAAATCAGTGCCTTCTGGTTAATCCAAAATGATTAAGAGGGAAAATTACCTTAAGTTTATGAATACAAGTCAAAGAAAGAAAAAAATATATTTCATTTTTAGATTATATAAATGGTGGAGAACTTTTTACTCATCTTTCTCAAAGAGAGCGTTTCACAGAGCACGAGGTGCGGATCTATGTTGGAGAGATCGTGCTTGCCCTCGAACATCTCCACAAGGTAAGATGCTCAATCTTTGGGAGTTCTTTTTTTAAAAAATCTGTTAATTGAGGTAATGCTGGAGCTAAAAGAGCGAATGTTTTAAAGCGTCACTGTCTTCGTGGAGATTCTAAAAGCACACTTACACACTATTACCAATTTTCTCAATTCTGTAGCTCCCTTTTTAAAAATCTACTTTTTTTTTTTGTAGTTCCTGTGATATAGATTAAAAAGGTAGAACTTGAGCAGTTCTTTGGTTTTATTCATGAAAAATCCTAATGCTCCTTACAAAGTATCATTAGAATAAAAGCTTTTCATTCTTAAGATAAGCTTTAAAATGAAAACAAAAGTCATAATATATGTTTCCTTAATTGTGACTTACTCCATTGCAGACTCTGCCCGTGTGTCTGCAGGGTATATTTCCTGATCAGGTTGGAGAATATGAGTTACTTGAAAGAAGTGCCTGCCATGGGATTCAGCTACCCCACTCTCCCACTCTGGTTTGCCTTTGCCTGTGTCCCTGAGGCCCTCCCATGCTCCCTTTCCCTCCCTCCTCCTTCATGGCCTCCCTATAGCATGAACTCAGTTGCTAAAAACTTTAAGTGGAATTCATGTCTGTGATGCTCTTTGAACTCTATTAAAATCAGTTTGAAATTTAAAAAAACATATATTATTTCATATACTGTTAATCTTGATCCAAGAAATTTTGAACAAAGTTTTTTGAACTTAATGAGGAAACATTATTATAGAAGCAGTCACTGTGTAGACTAGGCGTGTATGTGTTTCCTTAGAAACAGAAAGCACTTGAGCGATTTTCATCAAACTATGTGAGACCACGAGACCAGCATGACTTGAGTACCTACATTAGGATGAGACGAGTACATACGAGCCACTGTTCATCAGCATGAATTCAGACCTGCACTGGATTAGAGATGAACAGAGATTAACGTGGTGATTATGGGGCATAGACAAGGGTGGAGAGAGATGAAGGGAAAAGGCAAGGAAGAGGGAGGACACTTTTAAACTGGGAGACTGGGATTACAAGATGGAGGCAGTGGATGGGCGGGTCTGTGAGAAGAGACGGCGGGAAGATGCAAGCACGGAAGGCAGGGGCCAGGAACAGGGGACATCTAACTGGAGCAGAGCCCAGACTGGGCAGGCAGGGGCTGAGAGTCAGAGTAGGAATCCTAGGAGGAGTGGATGACCAACGCATAGGAACAAGGGGGAAAGGGAAAAGGCCCCAGTGGGCATGGGAGGCAAGACTGCAGTGCTTGGAGAGAAAGAACAGAGGAGCAGGAAGGGAGCTGATGCCTTCCTGCGGTGAGGGGCCAGACACCCCATTCCTTTGGGTAGAGTTGTTATGTGGTGGCCAGCTTTTGCCTGAGTATCTCTGCGGGATATAAAGTCGTTAGGACATCTTCATACATGAACCAAATTGGGCCCAGGAACAGGCTGAAAATATCTTTGAGTTTTATGCTTAGGGGTACTAGATGTAAGTTTTTATAATATAAAAGTGGTGGTGGAAATCACCATAAATACCAGCGTAAAAACAAAACAAATACAAAATTCTGCTGGATAAGCTGAACTCATTTTTTGTGTGAAAGCTTTAATTCCACTAATTCTCTTTATTAAAGGAAAATCCACAAACATCAGTTATTATTAAAACAGGGTAATCAGAACCACAGAAGTAGAGAACATGATGAATACTGGATATACGTGTAATTGATATGGAGTGAAAGTAATACAGCAAATCAGACCTCAGCTAAGTTTCTCTTAATCTTACTACCCTAAAATAAATACAAAGAGATACAACATAAGAGATATTAAGCCAATAACATTAGCCTTGATACAGCTGCTAACATGGAGTTTCCGGGGAAGAGACAAAAATGGAAGTTTACTTGGAAGTGATGAGGTAAAGCAGATAGTAAATGATTTATTTCTAAAATTGCTTCCAAAGAGTTTCTTTAAAAAAAAAAAAGTCATACTGGTTGTTAGATGCTTGTGAGGCTTCAAGTCAAATGTCTGTTCAGTAAATTGCAGATATCATCCTTTCTTTCCTGTAGAACACTGAAGTTCTGGAAGGAAAATTGCTTTGCATTTTTCCTTGCGTAATTTGTTGTTTCAGTTTGAGGAAGTTATTACAAATCTGCTTTTTCATATACTTAGTGTTGTGGAAAGCAGTGTTTCTAAGTTTAAAAACATTTCATTCAGGCTGACATAACATGAAATGTGCAGTGTACATCTATCAAGAACTTCTTGTGTGACTTGTATAGATTTATTTAGCTGAAGAAATAGCTGGAGTGCTTTACTATAAAACTTACACACAAAACAAAATGGAAGGATATATAAATATCTAATTGACTTATTTCACTTATTTAGAACTAATGATCAACTAAAATTAACCTATGATCTTCAGCCTCTTTGTTTAGGAGCCTATTACTCAACAAGTCTTTATTAATTATCTATTTGACACTATACAAGATACTACTAGACAAATGCATGAAAAGTGAAAAACAGAGTTAGTGTATGGTTATATCGAGACAAGCGGGAGATGCCTAGAAAATACCAGTTATTTTTAGGTAGGTACAGTGTACTCTTAGGTAAGTGAAAGAATAAAAACAAAGACTTGACCAGTGTGGGATCTGGTTAGTCAGGAAGGTCTCTGAATCCATTAGGAAGTGATAGACATGAATTGGCTAAGAGTATCAGAAGAAGATCATCTGTAGTGAGGATTAAATACATCCAGAAGACAGAACAGGAAGAACGGAGTTGACAGTAGTCAACGGAGAGACCCTACAGAAGCTGGTCCAGTGGGAATGGATCTTCATTACACAGAGAAGAGGTCCAGGGAGCCCAGCAGATGAACCCTGAGATGGATGAATTCACACTGGCCCTAGCCAGTGACTAAGAGCCATTATAGCATCCTGAACAGGAGAATCCTTTTTTGGTTTGTTTTTAAGGTAGATAAAGACTTTCCTAATTCATTTTTTGGAAATTGTTATTTGAAAATGCGTGTTTGTTTGTTTTTACAGTTGGGAATTATATACCGTGACATTAAGCTTGAGAACATTCTACTTGATTCTAATGGCCATGTGGTGCTGACAGATTTTGGTCTGAGTAAGGAGTTTGTGGCTGAAGAAGTGAGTATTACATTTTAATTTGAAGTTAGTAACAACAGAATGTAAACAATGATAAAAAATGAGTTATAGAATAAGCATTTATCAGGAGAGTACCATATGGATTATGGATTTTTGTGCAGGTTTGCCTAGGGGAACATCTTGACGTGAATGACTAAAGATTTTTAGCTTAAAATTACCATCTTGTTAGAATTGCACTAAACCTTTGATGTTTATATCAGAACTCCCCAGTTTAAAACTAAACTATGCATTTAACTTTCCCTATAAAATATAACTGAAAAATGTAAATAAGCCTTTGGGCCCTTGAGAATTATGCCTTAGTTGGTAACCAATAGAGAATTACAAAACGAAGGACATAGAGTTTACATTGTATTTACAAAGTAGGACATGTCCTGATGTCCCTTTCAATTCACTTGACAAAAATGACAAGGATCTACTAGACCAACTTCTTTAATAACCTTGCTGTTTTTGCTCAAACTAAAATGTAATAGATAATGTGCAGATTTTAAATATGGAGGACTTTGCTTTTTCAGTATTGATTAGTACTTGTTTACTATTACAGATGCATTTAATGACATTTTAAAATGTACATCTACTGTTCTAATTTAAATACTAACGTAGCAGTTGTAGTAAAAATTATATTTTTATACTACTGGTTATGCAAGATAATGAGGTAAATTTGATTGCCAACTCATTTTTATCTAAGAAATTATTGGTATAGAATACAGAAATTACAGTGAAATTTTTGTAGTGAAGGACTTCGTGGTTGTAAAACACATCATTCTTGAGTTCCACATCAGGTGTGTCTGTTTCTGATTGTTTGCTTTTTGTAATATTGCCAAAACAGTCCTAGGTGAATTCCATAAGTGCTGAAATTATAGAACTAAAGATCCCAGTTTTTTATCGTATCCGTATTCGTTCAGTTCACTTATTCAATAAATATTTAGTGACCATCTCTACTATGCTTGGTACTAGATAATGCAATGATGAAGAAGGTGGAAATGGTTTCTGCCTTCATGAAGTTGTGGTTATAATTATATTAATTATCTCTGATGGAAAATTCATAGTTATAAAATAGATGAATTTTTGAGGAATTTACCTCAGAGTCTGATTTTTAAAACTTTTTCTCCTTTGTAAAACTTTTCATGGCAACTTCAGTAAAATGTGACAGGTTAAATATGTTTACCGTTGCTTCCTCATTAAACCCCCTACACAAAAGTAAGGGAGTAAAATAGGCATGTACTCAAAAGAGAAGGAAGAAAGTAGCAACCAAATTTTGGAAGATGGACAGCAGGAACTCTAGTTGTAACTGAGGTAGCATTCCCGGTCCCAGTTGAATCCTAAGTTAGTAATGTGAGAAACCCCAAAATAAGCTAATTTGCACTTCTGGCTCCCAGACAGGGTCAGGAATTGGGGGCACCAGGTGTCCCTCAAAGTAGGAGCACAGGTGATTGGTTGCAAGTCTGTATAAGAAACAGGGAGCCCCCTCCGATCTGCTGTCTACCCGATTCACCCAGGCCACCGTGCTTTCCTTGTCTTCAGGGAGGACTGAAAGGGTTAACTAGAAAGACTGGATTCAGGGATGATGGACTGAAGGTGAGGACAGAAGGGAACTAGTGGTTGAAGTGAAAAATGACACGGTGAGTCATGGAGCTCCCATGGCCTCTTCCTGCCTCTTCATTCTGAGAACATGGCTTCCTGGACAGGAGTTTAGAGGATTCCTCCCTGAGAAACTAAGAACAGAAACTCTGCAGATGCTGTCGGGTGGTGGTGTTGCCAGGGAACTAGCCCAGCCAGATCTTTCTACAGAGATGTCTGTGACTTGACAAGCCCAGCACATGCTGCAGATCCATATTTGTGATGAAGTCACCATTCTTTTTCTATTTTGATTTCACTATATTTCAATGCAAATAGTTTCTTGTGTCTGTATTCCAGTGTGATTATGGTTTCCTCTGTCAGACTGTGCACTCAAAAACATTGTTCTGAGAAGGGGTCTGTGGGCTTCAACAGATGGCCAAAGGATCCTTGGCATGTGAAGCACGCCGGCATAGAGAGATTTGGTGATCGCCTTCTCCTCTCCCCATGGAACCGTCCATGTATTTGCTCATTCACTCCATCCGTGTTTGTTGAGGGCCTTTTTCATTCTAGACATTAGGCTAGGTTCTGGGAAGACACCAATGGAAAGAATCACTTAGTGACTCCTGTATTTATGGGTACGTGTGGCTGATCGTTTGGCAGACTTTGGCCCTGGGAAACAGCAAAAATAAACAAAAATCAAACTTGGATCAGAGTTGCTGAGTTTTAATACAGAAATACAAATTAATCAGAAATGCCATGTGACTAAATCAGCCAGGTCCCTCCTCACAAGAGAGACTTGTGTGTTCTGTTAATCATGCCAGCAGCTCCTTGGCAAGGGAACAAAGGGAGTTCTTGTCAGATACCATGAGTTTTGAACACTCAGTTGTTTAGGTGCAAAAATGAAATATTGGGTGGGGGGGTACCTGGGTGGCTCAGTCAGTTAAGCGTCCAGCTCTTGGTTTGGCTCAGGTCATGATCTCAGGGTCATGAGATCGAGCCCCGTGTTGGGCCCTGCGCTCAACACAGAGTCTGCTTGAGATTCTCTCCTTCTGCCTCTCCCCCTGCTCTCCCTCAAATAAATACATAAATAAAATCTTTTTAAAAAATGAAATATTGGGACTCAATCTGAAGTGGAGAAATAATTTATAGATTTTCTTATTATTCACTGAATACAACCTAGCTGCATTTAATACAGTTATGTGTTAGGGTCTGTGTCATTAAGCTTTCCGCTTTCATCTCTTCTCCTCAGACCACCAGCTCATTCTTCCTCTTCCCGTAGAGGACATCCTGTCACACTAGGCTTCAGGTTTAACTCTCAGAGCTGGGATAGGAAGTACCCCTTTCTGAGAGCCCTACAACAGGATCTAGTGGTTCTTTGCTCCCCTGATGCCACCCAGCACCTGTTCAGCAAGTTTCCCTGCCTCAACTCTTTCCACCTTAAAAATATTCCCACCAAACAATTTCTGTTTTGATTAGCTAGCATTTCTTTTTGGTTTCACATGTCAGCCTGACTCCTTTATATCGAAATACCGTCTTTCTTGGAATGAGTTTCTTTTTTTGTCCATCCCTATTCTACCTTGTTGGTTTTCAGTTTAAACCCTCGTTTAAGGAGTTTCCTTGGTTTCCAGTGTATACAGAAAGATTCTATAACTCCAGCTCCAACTGACCTCTCTCCTCTTCTACCTCTTCCTCTTGGACCCTTTTATCACCATTTAAGCATGCCTAGTCTCTCCCGTTTTAAAATTTTAAAGATGGAGAGATGGATAGATGGATGGATGGATGGATGGATGGTTGGATGGCTGGACGGATGGATGGACTAATAGGTAGATAAACAGAATCTATCTCAGAATTCCATATTCCTTTCCAGCTCTTGTGCTCTTGTTCTTTGTCAGTATTTGTCTACACACTCTCTTTACTTATCCACATGTCACTCGTTAATCGGCTCCAGTTTGGCTTGCACACCTACTGACTGTCTGTAAGCCTTCTTCAAGATCACTATTGACCTCAGTTTTAGATACTTTTTAGTCCTTTCTTACTTGACTACTTAGTAATGTTGAACTGGATATTGCCTCTCTCTTTGGCTCCTGTGATACCATGCTCCCCTGGCTTTCCCTCTCTCTGTCACTGTCTTTTGCAGGCTCTTCCTCTTCTACCCAGGGGTTCCTCACAGTTCAATACTAAGTACTCTTCTCTCTTTGTGCTCTCCTCTCTACCTTTATGCTGGTGATTCCTAAAAATATATGGCAACCCTGACCTCTTTTCTGAGCTCCAGATCCAAACATGCTTGTAATGTATTTCCATGTGATGCTCTCATAGACTCCTTGAGCTCAACATTTCCAAAACTGAACTAATCTTCCCCGGCCCAAATATGCTTCTCTTTCAATATATTGCAGTTTTGTGTGTTACAAATTCTGCCCTCATTAGGTCTGGGAAATTTATTTCTATTAATTTTTAGGAATTTACTTAGTATAAAATACATATACTTTTAAAATAACAGTTTAAGTTTCTGCTCATGGTGTAATATTCATCTCTCTGTGTATTTGTTAATTGAATAATTGAGCAAATATTGAGTACTATATATCAGGTATTGTACTTACACCCTAGAAATATAGTGGTGAACATAACAAATTCCTTGTCCTAATGAGCCTATATTCTAGAGGTATTTGTCAAATATGCATATAATTAATTATTTCTAGATTATAGTTTGTTAAACTGGACTGTATACAGGTTAAAATTGGTTTATTTTAGGAACCTTTAAAAATCTTTTATATGATAATGAACACTTTCCAAATTTGATACTTTTCATATGTTCTTTTCTCAATCATAGAATTTGATAAATCCCTTGAGATTCTGAGAATAAAAGAAGACATTTCTAAATATCTGCAGGCTAGTCTATGTCCTTCATAGGATCTCTTGAGTGTGCAATTCAAACATTTGTTGAGTTTCTGCTGTGAGTCAGACAGTCTGCTGGTTTTGGGTATATGATTCTAACACTGAAGACTTTAAAGACATTTATTTTTAAAGGGTGTCTGTTTTTACCTGTTTATAAACAAATAATGTGAAAATGATACATTAATGTCCTATTAGTTACCCTATACTTATCATATGGCATGTGCATTCTGTGTTTTCATGATTTCACACTGAACATTTAAAAATATCACAACAGATTACTAATGTGAATCTACAGGTAGCTAAATAAAACTAGCAGAAAAATAATGTCCCAACATTTAAAATAGAAGGAGCTAAACTAATTATAACATACTGCCATGGTAGCTCTACTTTAAAGGAAAGGCCTATGGATTAGTGACTCTTTTCTCTTTCCAGAAAATAGAAAAGTGCACCTTTGCTTGGTTAAAGAATGTTGTTCATTAATTTTTGAACATATAAGTGGCCTTTGTGTATAGTGGATAGAACATGTATTGAAG